TCAAGGGAGACATAAACAAATAAATATAATAAATTGTGTAATTGAATTAAACAAGAAATAACAATCAATCAGTTTAAAAAAACATTGACTGAAGGGGGTTGCTGAGAGACTGCTGCTGTCACTGGCTGCTGAGATTACTGTTGCTGTCGAGGGTCACTGAGAGGTAAGACTGCTGCTGTTGAGATCTGCTGAGATTGCTGCTGCTGTCGAGGTCTGCTGAAAGGTTACCTAGTGTAGAAGGTCCTTGAGAGGTAAGACTGCTGATGCCAAAGGCTGCCGATAGATGACTGCTGCTGTTGTGGGTCGTTGAAAGGTTACAATACTGCTTTTGTCGAGGGTCTCTGAGAGATGACTGCCAAAATTGAGGATCCCTGAGAGTAAACCAATCTTGGTGAAGACTGCTGAGACATATGTTGGCATTGTTGGGGAGTCCCAAGTTTAATGTGAAACAGTGCCCAGCTTATATACTATCTGAGCCAAAGGGAATCTTAGTCTGTTCTACATTTTACCTAGGTGATGAACTATTTATTACTTGTGAAGGGATTTTGCAAGTACAGGTATATAGTTTGTCCTGCTAAAGGCTGAGTGCGAATAAGGGGGTAAAAGTGCCCACTTTTGTACATGAAAAATAAATTGTAAATGAATGGAAAAAAATTGATGCCAAATTAAAGTTGGGGTCTTACACTTTTATGATCCACTTAAAAATTTTTTTTTTATTGAATTTGAAATATAGAAAATTAATGTCAAAATGACCTTGTCCTATATTCATGAAAATGTGTGTTTTAGGGGGGGTCTGAATTGCAATGCTACATATCTTTAGTTATAGTAAGGTGACAACTGTGAAATTTTGTAATTGGGTACAGAAGGTGCCCATGGAAAAAAGTAAGGCAATATGTGGCCAATCATTGTTTGTGATCAATATTTTGATTACCTTATTTGTACATGTAGTGCTGATTGAAAGAAGAATCTCACAGTGACTTGAGGGTAAAAGATGTTCATTTTTTATATGAGCCCCTGCCTCAGACAAGCTAATTTTTCACGGTTGAAAAGACATGAATATAAGGTGAGATATATGTGAAAATCAGCTTGTCTGAGGGTTGGGCTCGATATGTACTCAAACTAAATAGGGACATTTTCAGTCCATATGCTAGCAGGCGGCCATGTTTATTCCTGCCATGAGGTAGCTGCTACATGCTTACATAGGATGGCTAGGCAGATACAGTGAAACTTTGGTACAAAAAGAACAACCCAAAATAAATTGTAGGTCTTTGAAAGGAAAATAGGGGTTAGAGTCAGTAAAATATTTTCAATTACAACCAAAAAAAAGTCATTTTCACATATGTAATGCATGCTATCATAAAAAAAAATGGAAATGTGGATAGGAAATAGAGTCCAAATACAGTAAGTATATCTTACTTTCATTCTTATTTCTTAGGATAATGAAAGATTAAATGTAAAATGTGCTTCAGATATTCAAAGTTATATTAATTTTCATAATAGCAGATGTACATTGTGGTGGCTCCTACTTAATATAGAGACCCATGCATGCTGTAATAGACCTCTACACATAAGGGTGGCTTGACCCAACCCCCTTTATTATTATTATTATATGTGTACTATATTTTCATTTAGTTTTTAGTAATACCTTATCATTATTTTTGGTACAATTTATATCTTGTTTATTTTATGGTTTATGGAAACATTCCAAATAGCTGTTTAGAGTGCTTTTACACATGATTTTTTTGTTGTTACTATAATAGCCTTTTGCTTTTAGCAATTTTTACTATTCCTTAGAAATGTGTATTGGTTAAAAATACCTCATTTAGACCAACAAATGCTGGTCTGTGAGAAAAGTAATTTAAAATTAATAAATATGCTGAAACAAGTTTTTCTAGTAACAAGACTTTTATACAGTTAAGTGAAATCAGTGATGGCTTCTGTGAGAAAACACCGTAATATACCACCCCTCCCTCTCTTCTCTAGGATTAAAAAAAAACAATAATTACTTTCCCATTTACTTGTGCCACACCACAATTATTTAACATATAACTCTTTTTTACATCACAAGACAAGTTTCGTTAGAAAAAAATTGTTTATGTAATATAAATGCTGAAACAAGTTGCTCTGATTCATTACACTGCATACAACAGGTAAATCTGGCTACCCCCCCCCCCACATATAACTTATTAAAATACTAAGTTACGATGCCTCAAACCAAATAATATTTTTCCATGCAACAAATATATGCATAAACGTTATAATAGCAAATTATTTTTAAATTTTGATGATGGGCACTTTGCCAATGGTTATTCGCACTCATCCTTTTGTCTGTCGATATGGGCCACAATTTTGGGGACTTTTGTATCAATTTTTCATTGTACATAGGTAATAAAGCAAGCATCACATCCATAAATTTTCATAGGAAATCTGTTGGTTGCTTCTGTGTTAAAAATTCCCTAAGTTTTAAAAAATAAGCATGGAAATGCCCAGTGAAAAAATAAAAAATTTTGTTATAATTAAATTTTGGATAATCTCATTGAATTAGGTGAAGTGATACAAGGTGAGGACTTCTATATGTGCCAATTTTAATTGATATTGGATTATAAGATCTTTTGTGAGGGGTGGAAATTGATTTTAAGGCCCGGGCATCTGGATAGGTATTAGGAAACCCGTTGTATTTGAGGAATAGCCGCCATTTTCTTTGACCCTAGACTTAAAATCTGCAAAGTTGTGTTTTGGTTAAGCTTTACCAATTGCAAAGAGTGCAAATGATTTAACCAGTGGATAGGAGAGGTGTGAAGTTCAAGATGTTGACATATTTTTCATCATTGAAGTGTATAAGGTACTGTTTTTTGGGAGTTGTGGGTGTGTAGCAAATTAAAGGCAGTTCCACTTCATGGTCAGGTAGTGGATGAAATGTGGTTAATTTTAACTAGACTTTGTGTGTGTGTGTGTGTGTGTGTGGGGGGGGGGGGCTTGTAGTTGTGCGTGCTCAAAAAGTTCCAGATAGTTAAAAAAAACATATAATAAACAAACAAATGAATTTGAATTAGATGAATTTAAAATTGGTTTTCATCAAGGTAATATCAGAGTAAGACGGAATTTGAAGAGCCAGTGGCTCAATCCTTTAGTTCCATAGGTAATCTACTCAGACATACGTACTGGACTCACTATATGGTGTCTATAAAAAAAAATCCAGGTGTTTAATGGGCAAATAAGCTATAGTATTATGAAGCAGTTATGTATGGGAATCTTTTTGAGTATTAACTAATTATTGAATAAGAATGTTAATTAAAGGACGTACCTCTCCACCTCTCCCTGCACTCATTTGAAAATCTCCCACAGTCATATTTTTGTCTTGTAAGGATTCTTATATTTCCCAATTCAGAATTAAAAAAAAGACCCTTTGAAACAAAAGTTTATTTGAAGCCTCGTTTGTGTATACCTTGGGTACCCTTAGCAAAATATCAGGCCTGCGGCAAACTCTCTCTCAAATTCACTGCAAATTTGCTGGGCTCCGTAACTTGAAAGTAGTGCGAATTGCGACCGAGCACAAGCACCTCTATTCCATAACTCGGGATGCCCCGATTAGCCTCGTAATAAAAGGTGATATTGCTATTGTAATTCGCGATGTTCTCGAGTTACAGAGTTACAGAGCCCTGGAGTGACCCTTAAGCATATAATATATAAATATATAATATAACTGAATTTGAACACTATGTTTTGTGTCCAAAATCCCCAGCTTCTAAATCCAGCAAGATTACAGGCTAGGTAAAGAACTAATTTTACAATATATTATAAAAAGCCTAGTAAACAAATAAAACATTACAATAGAAAAGTACAGTATGTATACATTAAGTTTGACATGAATATTGAAAGACACACTGAATCTAGACATTGAAGACCACTTTATGGCATTTATCTAATCACTTGGATGTGAATTATATAATTATTTCATTTGCTATTGTTCACTACTGCTTGCATTTTTTGTCAGGTACTTAAGTAATATTAATCATGATAATAATCCTACACTTGACAAAAGCAATTGTACATTGTGCACATTTGTTGGCTCTCTTCATTGAATTTGATAACAGTGGTAATGGCAATAATACTGTGAGTGCATGTAACCTAATGGAAATTACATAATAAATGACAAAATTACAGTGCATTACAAATTAACAATGGATAAATATAAGAAGGTGTTTTGGGCTTAGTGTGATCTGAATTAATAAACCTGCGTTACTGAATAAGAAGAATACTACCAGTTACAAGGGCGGATCCAGAGACATTTTCTGACAGTCTTCCAAATTATCTTTGTTGATCCATCCTCTATTTTTAACTGTCTTCCCACAGAAAAAATAAGATACCTGTCAATGTAAACTTGAAAATCTGACCTAGAAAATGGCCTAAATCCCCCCTGAGATATGATTATTAAAATTAATTCAGTCATCACATTTTGATCTCTTAATTGGTCTTCATCTTTCCAGAACTTGAAATGTATGGCCAGGATACACGTAAGTCACATCTTGATAATAAGATTGATTTCATCAGGCAAAGTTTCAGATTTGTCAGTGGTCTTTATAAAGCCTATTGGGCTTCTTTTTAAGACAGTCATGCTTTGCAGAAACAAGATTTATACATTGTTTGAATTGCTTTTCTGAGTGACCTATTTTTCCCATACAGTATGATGGCATCCATTGTTCGTGAGAGCTGAAAAAGTAAAGATGCAACAATATGCGCTTCTGGGCCAATGGATATGAGGTTCAGCACAAGACTTGGACAAAGGTTGCAAATAAAACTGTTCATCATCAAAAGAAACATGGCCTTTGTAAGCTGAAGTTCAGTTTTAGCAAGAAATGACGGTTGCTGCTGCTGTGATGGCAAGCTGTCTGTGGAAGTTGAAGCATTTTGTGCTGGAGCAACCTTTTCCTTTAATTTTTTCATCTTAAAGATAATTATGCCATCACAAACCAACATGATGACTGATGCTGCTACATATAAGACCATAAAGAAAGCCATTGAATCACAGTGCTTTTTTCTGATATCATACATACATAATAGGCTCTCTGGGCTATAACGTATAATCTTTCCCCTGCACACAAAAGTTGTTTGAATTATGAAAAGCATGGGCAACAACCATCCCAAAGCAATAAGTCCCCCAATGTATCTTGACGATTTCAATTTATTTACCATTGCATTACCTGGTTTGCTAGAAATTAGGATACAACGCTGAAATCCAATAAGAGCCAATAGCAAAGCAGACGTCGTGAGCAGGGGCAGCTTGACGTAGAAAGAAAAGGTACAGAGTCTCTGTCCTATGTCCCAGTCTGGAATGGTAAATGCCAGAAATTGTGGAAATGTCTCCAGGAAGGATACCATGGCATTGTTGAAGGTGAGACTGCAGATGAGGATGTAGTGAGCAGACTTGTGGAACTTTGGGATTTGCAATATGGCTGCCACAATGGACATGTTGCCCATGGCTCCCAAAATTACAAAGATTCCCTTCAGCGAGACAATAAGAACACGAAGTGAAACAGAGACACTTTCCATAGCCAAAGTTTGTGTGCCATTCTGTAGAAGTTCTCTTTGAAATCCTGACTCATTGATGAGAAAAAAATCTTTAAAGGATTCTAGATGCGTCCTGTTATTGTTATCTAGCATCATTTTCTCTTGTGGTATCTTTAGGCTTGCTATATTTCTTTGATTTACAGAAATTGTATGGGTATTACCACCATATCAAGTAAGGCTGTACCTTTTGGTGTTGTTACTAAACACCCTGCAATATCTCAGCACTCCTCATAAATGTCTGTCATCACTATATTCAATTGTCCAATCGAAGAGCTTCTTTTTCATAAGAGAGCAGTCAACCTTGTACAACCACAGACTGTACAGAACAATTGGTTGTATTAAATTGGCTTTCTAGTTAAGACATTAAATGTCGCAGGTCCTGAGATATTTTCTGACAGTTTTCAAATTATCTTTGTTGATCCATTCTCTATTTTTGACCATCTTCCAACAGAAAAAATTAGATACTCGTCAGTGCTAACTTGAAAATCTTACTGTTTTCCGGAAGACCCAGAAGATGGCCTCAATCTGCCTTTGCATTTGTAACATCCAATGATGCATGAGCATGGAGAAAATAAAGCATGAGACGTACATACATGTAATATATACCACAGGACACCCACTTATGGTGACTATATAACACTCAGTGCCTAGAAATAAGATCCTTTTCCTGACATTTGTATGAATGTTTATGTCTTAGGTGGGCTGAAATTAATACTGTACCATTGTTTGGGAACCCATGTTTCCTAGTATTTTATCTTTAGACAATTATATCATAGAGTATTAGATGACAAAGTAAAAAGATGATTGTATGGAACAACTACAGTAAAGACTTGAGCATTTTGTTGGCCTTGAAAACTTTGTCAAAAGGCCATATTCCACTGTCAAAATTTTTTCATATTGAAAAATGTATCAAAACTCAAAATAGACTGGAATAAATTTCAAGAACATTTTGTCTTGTGCATAGTTATGTTGTCCGACTTTGTTTAATTGGGGAGATGAAACTTGAGTCATGAGAACCTTGCCAATAATCTTGATTGGAAAAATAATGTGTCCCTTTGAGCGGCTGCCTGCAATATGCAGATGATGGTTTACCCATTTGGTTGCTAGCTTCTGAGGAGGCGGATGGTGAGAAGTTAACCTGCTAGCTTTCTTCCATATTACTCATACTTAATGATTCAAAGAAACAAAACCTGATCAGATGGCAATGGGCAAACATTAAAACAATGTTAAACTCTTGAATCTGCATGGCTAATTTTTTACTTGAGTCCATGGTGTCCTGCATGACTCAGCAGAATTTCAAGTTTATGCACATATTCAACATCGTTGTCAGTTGTTAATTAAGCTTTCAGTGACATCGATGAACCTCTTAATGAGGCTGAATGATCTCATTGGGCCTCTGTTTTTGAAATTAAATTATTATTTATTGTTTTATTTAAATGTGAAATTATGAGTTTGTATACATCTTGTATGAATGTTATAATATCAGGTGGCTCCAATAAAATGTAATTTCAAAGTTCAATAACTTGAAGTTATTGCAATGAAAAATGAGATATTGGGGTTTAACAGTCACAATATATTACACTGGCAAAAAATGTATTTCTGGCCAGACCCAGATGAGAAGACATTGAAAAAATGATAAACATTTCACAGGAAGCTTGCAAAATGTAAAAAGAAAAAATAATCAATTTCTAGTGGAAGCACATTTTTGAGAAATTCAGATTATCACCTATGAGAAGGTTAATAATTTTTTCAGTGCAGAAATTTCAAGATTTTACCGTATCTGATAGAAATAAAGATTTGATGTCAAAAGAATGATTGCACAAGAACCTCTGAAAACAATATGTTTTGTTTGGATATAGCACAGAGGGAGAGAGAGAGAGAGAGAGAGCAAGAGAGAGACTGAATCTTCTCCAAAGGACTCATGAAAATACTGCTTTATGGCCATTTAGAATAATCTTTCCCCATTGAAAAGATTGATTTATTACTGGTTATTATGTCAGAATGAGTAGGCCAAACGTGCATTTTTGTAACCACGGTCTTTCTAAGTGATTTATAAATAATACATCTTTTTAAAGGGTTTACACACATCATGCAGTTTGTGTTGGAATTTAGATTATTGCGTCTTTGAAAAAAAAAAGTTCCTTTTGAAAATGAGCATGATCAGATTAAATTTCACGCAACTCTGCTTTTTGGAATTTTTTCATGTATTTTTGTGACATTAACCCCTATAATGCTGACTGAAATCAGATTTTTGTTCTACTGCAAATTTGCGGAGTGGATTTGAATGTTAATGAGGCAGGTTACATTTGAAACTTGGTTTGATAGGATTTATTGATGATGATGATGATGATGATGTTTATTCCGTAATTTAAGGCCTCCGACCCAAAATACATGTAATATTTCACCACAATTTTACCACTCGTAATAAAACCTTTGTTGTACACTGAATAAATATGACATATCCGTAATAGCTAGTCCTCTTTTTAACAATTTTCAAAGAATGTAAACTTTATGATAGTCATGTTCTTAATCAACACTGTGAATTAAATTCATTTCACTATCTCTTCTCGCAATGCAAATGCAGCAGTTAAAAATCTTGCCAATGAGAATATGCCACCCTTACTAATGTCAGACAAAATCAAAGCAAATAATTGTTTATTTTTACTGTGTTTTGTCCATTGTATTATTTATGTTTATGCATGTTTTTGATTTTGTTTGGGTTGGATTATTTTCATAAAGTTTAACTTTTTGAAAATATTTTTGCAATGTTTTTTGCTGTTCTTGCTTTTATATTTGCTAGCTTTAATTTATGTCTATTTTATCTGTGAACTATTTTAAAAACATTGTATTTAAAACTAGTTTTACAATACTGTCTGTTAAATGTATATTTAATTCATACTTTATTAACATGATTGTGTATTGGGGCTTTATATAAAATTGGTTCATCTTCTAATTATTTCATTGTTTTTTAAGATAATCAGTGAATCAGTTCCTAAATATGCGGCCTCAAACAGTTAAATACTACTACAATGATTTTCATTTCTAGGCGTTAATAGAAGTATCAAGACTCAATGGCAGCTCAAGAAAAACCTTACTCTACAAATATTTGGATCGCCCCCGAGGGTTAGCAGTGCACCCTCTAAATGGGTAAATGTCGTAATTACAATTACAGTGTCTATCAAACAGTGTTTCAGTGAGCTGGACTTTGTTGCTCAGCCTGGTATTGTTAATCAGTGGCAGATTTAGGCCGTCTTCTGGGTCTTCCAGATTTTCAAGTTTACGTTGACGGGTATCTAATTTTTACTGTCGGAAGATGGTCAAAAATGGGGAATGGCGCAACAAATATCATTTGGAAGATTGTCAGAAAATATCTCTTGATCCGTCACTGTTCATGATATTAATTTTGACCACCCAGTTGATCCCAAGTGCCTACATTGCATCAAGAATATGTATATAGAAAATTTTTTTCTGAATTTTCTTATGGGGGGAGGGGGGAGGGGGGGCACATTTAAGACCAGATGTAAATGTTTTCCCTTTTTGGTAATTCTCTTGTCTCAGTCTGTGCAGCGTAAATTATTGATTATTTTAAGGTTATTATCCTGAGATATGATGGATAATAATGGTGCTAGTTTTGTGCAAAATGAGGAAAGGGTACATTTCAGCTTAGTTAGCCTTGGTATTCTGCAACTGGTAGAATGTAATGCATAAAGTATAATGTGAGCATGTAGTAGGTATATCGATTATTTTAAAGTTGTTTCAAGAAAGAGTACCCATCCGTATACATATTAGGCCACATTCACATCGAGTTGAGCCATGGCTCTACAAAGCCACGACCTAAATATGGCGGACGTACATGAAAGGAATACCGCCTTATCTTTTAATAGCCTCCCCATATGTCGTCCCTGCAGGGGTACAGTCATTAAAACACTGCTCCATTGGGACGACACACGGGGAGGCGTGTGAGAGGCGGAGAGACTATTAAAAGATTAGGCGGTTTTCCTTTCATGTACGTCTGCCATATTTAGGTCGTGGCTTTGTAGAGCCATATGGCTCAAGTCGATGTGAATGCGACCTTATACTTGTTTGTCAGTTTGAGTCTGTTAGTCTATTTACTTGTGCATCTGCCCTTTAGTTAAAGGTACATATGAATCGAGCATTGGTAGAGCGTGGGTATCCAGTAACACATGTAAACCACTTCTACTAGTTTCTTATACGACTCAAATAAAGTCAACATGCCAAGGGATAAACTGAATAAATCACTCGATTAGCCATATAAGAGCTTTTGACTGCCTTTTCTTTAAATTTTTTGGTCAGAAAAACCTACTTACATGTCATTGATCTACTTTTTAGCGCTATGTATATACAGCATAGAAAAATAGCAGAAAAGTCCTTTCAGATATCATTTTTTGGGTATTATTAAACAATATCTTTTGGTAATTCTCTTAGCTATACTATTTGAAACTATATGCTGGCGTTTGGTAGGTTTTTGTGGCCAAAAATTCGCTTCGCATGCATAAGTGACTGACATGTTAATGTATCAAAATATTTATTTGTCAATTATTACAGACACCTGTATTTCTCAGACTGGGGAGTAAGTCCTGTAATAGAACGTAGTGATCTGGATGGCAAGAACAGGAAGGTCCTGGTTGACCGCCTTGGATGGCCAAACAGTTTGACCATAGACTATGAAGACGGCAGGCTCTACTGGTGCGATGCCTGCTTTGACCACATAGAGTCGACAGGCTTAGATGGACAGGAGAGAAGGGTGGTTGTAAGGCAAGTCAAATTCTTTAAGCCTAAAGATTGTTGTCACAAATTATAGCATCTATCTATCTATCTTTCTATCTATGCACCATAGTCGGTAACAACAATGGGGCAAGGGCATCGAAATTTCAACATGGCACCGATCTTGTGAGGACGCTTTTCGCTTAGAATATGCATCATATTTTGCAATATGTTCAAGGGACAACGCGTGGGGAGGCTTGAAAGAAGCAGAGAGACCATTACAGGATTAAGCGGTCTTCATTTCATGTTGGTCGGCCATATTTAGGCCGTGGACCAGCTAGCACTCGCCTCTTCTCATTCTGAATGGCCCCTTTGAGTGTCATTTTTGGCTAAGAATTTAAAAGTGTAAAATACACAGCGATGTTTGGAAACACGAATTTATTTGTTATTATTAGATTACTCCACCCCTTTCACATGAAAGCACCCCAATTGTAATCCAACACATAGGAATTTTTAGGCAGACTTTCAAAGATGATAACCCATTGTTGTTACCCAGTATCATGGACGTGCAGACATATTAATATATATCAATTATATGTATATATTGATTTTCCTGTCTCAAAAATGAATGATTCTCATGCCAGCTAAATGTCAGTCATAACACATATCTAGCTGAATGGTTATATCAAGTTACATGAAGACAGTGTTTTCTTTATTTTTCCAATCTATTTAGTAATAGGAGATCAGTAGAAGTCTCCTTTTCATGTTTTTCTCCCAACCTGCATGCAATGATCTGTTGACAACTGACAGGTATTAGCATTACCTCAGGGCAGTGGGAATATAGTGATCATAGTTTGAATTTTATTATAACTGTTATAATTATGTTTTGAAGGCATTTTCTAGCTTTCAGCAATATTCGTAAAGCTTTGGCATGTGTGACAAGAATCATATATTGTCAATAACACTACATCAGATAGCAGAATTGCTGGCCGAGTGGTAAGGTCCTTGGCTGCCAAACCTGGGTCTGATTCCCACTCAGACCAGTTTTTTTTTTTTCCATTAATGATTGATGTAACAGGTATCAGCTACATGTAGTATAGAAGTGTTATTAGGATTCTTCCATTACCATCATAATGGTTACTTAATCCAGGATAGAGATACACTATCTCTGCGGCTTTAATTTTAAGACCATTGCTGTGATGGAAGTTTTTGTTGATTTTGTTGATTATAAAAAAGTTGCCTAAAAGATTTATCTATTTATTTTGACCAAATTAATTTTTTTTAAAACACAATTGGTCAAAAAAAGGTGTGATATTTTGATAGATATTTTAAGTACATTTTTTACCATAATTATAATTAAAGATACTTGTATACTGTTGGTAAAAACATGAAAGTTTTGGATTTCTTAATCCCAGCGATATTAAATTTTTTTTACTCTATCTGATAATCACCTAATGCAAAAGACTTAAATAGTTTACAGGCACGACCCACGTGCCCCTGATATTTAAGGATTAAAGGATGATTACATAATTTTAAAGTAAAGTAGATGACCATTTGGGTCAGATTGATTATGACTCCTGCCATTAAAACTGCAGAAAACCATGTAGACAGCTGTAGTCACTGTTGTTTAGACTGTTTTGCAATATCTTACGTCCCCAGAAGTGAAAAAAATCTCATGAAATCCCACAAACTTCAAATCTTACTTTTGTGCCCTAGCAATTACGTACTGATTCAGAAACTTCAAGATACAGTAACAACACACTGAATTTTTATGGATTACTTTCAGTATATCACAATTTATAATTTGATTTGTCCATACAACTTGAAATGGATGATACAGAAATAATTTAAGAAGGAAAAAAAATTAGGTGAAAAATATGATTTTTGTTTGTATATCAGAAAATTGTATATCTGAAAATGATGATATGTTTGGGATGTTTATAATGTTCATAACTTTATGCTATAAAATGAAGTGTAAAAAGGTGTACGTTTCCCATAAGTTTTAACCATAAAGAGGCTGTGTTATGGCATATGTGAAGGCCATCATATGAGGACATTTTCATATTGAGCATTGTATAGGTATTATGTATTACAGGAATGTTCCCCATCCATTCTCGATTACGGTACTACAGCAAAGAATATACTGGACAGACTGGGACACTACACATCTTCATTACGCAAACAAATGGGATGGTGGACATCAGGGACAACTCCTCAACTATGAGGGCATGATGGGAATTGTTGCCATGGCAGCATCACGACAACAAGGTGATATAAGAAAACCATTTCGCCTTGCATTTTTTGCAAGAAGGTTTTTGAGAAAATTAGAAACTGATGTATTCTGTGTGATTTCTCTGTAATATCAGCATCACTGTGTTGACAATTGTATTAACCCTGTGTAATTGCCTGCATATTGGATAACATACTAGATATATAATTACCTCAGCCAAGGAGGTTATGTTTTCACCTCCCTTTGTCTGATTGTTGGCAAAATATCAGACCTGCTGCAAATTTACAGGTACTATTACCAATAAATGGTTAATGAGTTTTTTCTAGATTCCCATATATTGCAATTTCATCTCTGATATAATTATATACACTGTACTTTGATAAACCTGGCAATACAAAAACAACAATATAAAAATTGAAATTCATTTTCTGTTGAATTTACTGTTGTTATTAATATTTATTGCTGCATGTAGGCATCTCTGTAATACTGCTATGTTCCTTCAGGTACCAATGCATGTTCTGCAGATAATGGAGGTTGTAGTCATCTTTGTTTTGCTAAACCTGGCAGCCATTTTGTCTGTTCTTGTCCAGAAGGGATGACAGTGAAGGAAAAAACTTGTGAACCATGTAAGTTCTCAGGATTAAGCTTATGTTGTTAAACCTGGAGTTACCAATGGAATTGAATTGAAGCACATCTAGTAGATTCCACATAAACTCATCAGCTTATTCTCTAAGTTATGTTTAATCTTAAATGATCAAATATTGTGAACCACATTTTCCTTTGTCATGTATGCACTGGTTGAAAATTAATATTATATCCATTCCTGAATTTTACTTGAGCATTATTTTCTTGTCTGAAAAGTCATGCCAAGCATTTTGTACTCTGCTTTCAGTATCAAATGCCAGGCTGTGTGCGTGTCTCCATACATGTGTGCCCTTTGTATTCTTCTATTTGGGATGCATTTCCATTGAAGTTGTAACAGCTTAACTTAGCACATGCATTCTCAGCAATCTCAACTTGTTGAGATTTTTGCTGAATATATGCATCTTGACTGCAGGGTATGGCATATGTCTTGCCCACTATTACTTTGGCAGTTGGGTGACAACAGAGGGATTAGAATAGCATATTATGGTTAGATAATGGTGTGCTAGAAGGCGTGTGCTAAAATGAAGCTGTCAGAGACTGGAAATGGGACCTCCACTCGCTGCTGTGTTCTTGCCAGAGATCAAATTCTAACATACTCTGTTGATTAGCTCATGCAAGCTTCTTGAGTTTCACTTGTGAAGATTCTTTTTTTGGACTAGACAAGAAAAATGATCTAACAGTCAAGCTGACATCACACGTCTTAGCAACTGGCAAATCCAACAGAAATGGGGTAAAACAACTAAAAAAAAACATGGGGGATTGTATTGACTTCTGTGCTTAAGTTGTCAGACTTTTTCTGATGGTATCATACTTCACAATGCTTGACAACTTGTGTCAGTGAGGATGAAATAAAGTGTCAGGGAGGATGAGCTATTTACCTGGTTGATTTCCTTTGCTGATCTTTGTAATTATAGCCATGGCATACCTGCTTATAAGAGATAAAATTGGATTTAAGTGATGATCATTATCTGTGATCAGG